ATAATAATAATAATAATAGTAATAATAATAATAATAATAATAATAATAATAATAATAATAATAATAATAATAATAATAATAATAATAATAATAATAATATAATAATAATAACAATCAGACAGAAAGTGTTTAATTCGTATTAATGGGATGAATATATTACGTAATTTAACTAAAGATTAACACCAAATTTGAGCTCATGATACTGTCCACCAAAAATGTGAATTTCTTTTAAAGTTAAATATAGATCTACACATCGAAGCCCTAATAGTTAGTTAGATTCAATCCATATACACATGCATAAAAACCACTCTACCACATTATGTGACACTGTTTATAATTATAAGCAGGTAATATTAAATAAAATGCTTACTGTAAATAGCATATTATGTACCGGGTATGCTATCTGTCTCTTATACACATCTTCCGGTCCGAAATTTGTGTGTTCTAGACGCCTGAAGATAACATTTGAGGCTCTCTGGGCTATCATTTTTTTCTTTTCCTTTTTCTTTTCTTTGTTTTTTCTTTTTTTTACCTCCAAAAAAAAAAAAAGGGGGGGGGGGGCTAAATCCACCCCTGACCATTATCTTTATCATCGTCGCTTTAATCATTATTATCATCATCTTCATCATCGTCATCAACATTATCATCGTCGTCGCTGTCGTTCTCATCATTTATCATAATTTTTTCCATACTATAGTAGGAAAAACATGGATTTTGAGGATATTCATCTCAGAATGCAGGAAATTGCATTTTCAAGCATCTAAAATACAAGAGTTTCCGTGAGGAGAACCCGAGCCCCTCATCATAACATATTATTTGCCATTTTTGTAAGAACAACTACAAATTACGCTCTCTTCGCTCATGACCCCGCCCTCTACTTGTCACCATTTAGTTTAAAGCTCTGTATCTCTGAATCTGTCCCTTGGACCCCACGTGACCCTGTGACAGTAAACTCTGGATCGACGCCTGAGATCAATGTGGTTGTTCGATCAGGCAATCTATTCATACTGTAGAAGTCTTTAATGATGAGTAGTCAACCTGTGTAAAACCTCTCGGGCAAATCCTGGTTCCACCAGTCAACCTGTGTAAAACCTCTCGGGCAAATCCTGGTTCCACCACTACTAGGCAGATGTGTATAAGAGACAGCCAACACACCCAACAAAAAGAAAAGAAATGAGAAAGAGAGGAGTACGTACTCCAAAACAAGCCTATTTTCCATTAAATTCCATGTACCCTCTATGGTCAAGTATTTCTAATAATAAAAAATCTCAAACAACAATGTTATACTTAGTAACCCTAAATGCACAAAATAAGCGCCGCGCGGCTCATAGATTTTTTGGAGCCAATTCAGTGCGGCGCTTATTAAAGAATATTGGCGTGGCGCTTTCCATGCCCGTAATGTTACCTGTCTCACGTCAGTAGGCCAATCATAGGTCCTACGTCATCGTAAATAAACATTTATAAAGAAATGCTTGTGTCTTCATTGTGTTATTTATTCATTTTAACACTGTCTACATTGCTATTTTGATTCAATACTAGGCATTGAAGTTGCTGTAAAATAAGTGACAGCATGTTGATAATCTAGTAGGCCTATATGATTTTTGTAGAAATTGAAGACATTATATTTCCCCTGTTGGTATACATGATTTACATTTATAATAAATATAAATATGCAAATGAACTAACACTTAGGCCAACAGGGTGTGCATAATTTAATCGTGCAACTGAGTGATGACTCCATTCCATTAGCAAAAATATTGATACTCTATAATAATAATAATAATAATAATAATAATAATAATAATAATAATAATAATAATAGTAATAATAATAATAGTAATAATATTAATAATAATAATAATAATAATAATAATAATAATAATAATAATAATAATAATAATAATAATAATAATAATATAATAATAATAACAATCAGACAGAAAGTGTTTAATTCGTATTAATGGGATGAATATATTACGTAATTTAACTAAAGATTAACACCAAATTTGAGCTCATGATACTGTCCACCAAAAATGTGAATTTCTTTTAAAGTTAAATATAGATCTACACATCGAAGCCCTAATAGTTAGTTAGATTCAATCCATATACACATGCATAAAAACCACTCTACCACATTATGTGACACTGTTTATAATTATAAGCAGGTAATATTAAATAAAATGCTTACTGTAAATAGCATATTATGTACCAGGTATGCTATACATGGCTTAAATTTCATCATCATAACCACAACCATGCCTATTGTTGTCTACTGATTATAACCGTTATATTATTGCATTAAATTATTACATTATATTATTTCATTTGTTATTGCGTGCAGGAACGGAAATGGAAATGTAAATTTGTGGCACTTTAAGTCAACCTCTACCTCCACGCTGTACACCCTGGATAACTATAGTAAAAATGATGTCAATCTATCTAGGCTGATGACGAGGAAAGCCATGGGAGACCACCTCATAGGCCTATCCGTATTTTTTCCAAGAAATAAAGGCGGACACTTAATGCACACTAAAACGTGTTAAGAATGTTTTTTAATGTTTAAATGAAAGATGATGAATAAATAATGAAAACCACATCGTTTAAAAATAGAAATAAAACGAAATGATAGATTGGTGGAAGTTGAGATAAGTGAAATGAGTTGTGTTTTTTGGAAGGTGACGTCACAATATGACCAGGCGAGTTGTAGAAATTGTGAGAAAAATAATGTAAACGTGAGTTGTAGTCAGTGCCACACATCACCCGCCCCTCCCATCTCCATAGAATATTTTCGAGTCAAAAAGCATCACTTATTGCCTTTTTTCTTTTGCAAGAGTTCCCCTTACTTATAATCATCTATCCCCACATCATTTCTACAAACAAAAACGCCAGATGCCTTGCTCTTAAGTAATATAATATATGAAAATATAGCCATAGTAGAGAAATAATAACACAAATACACATGACGGATAAAATATTAGTCGGTAGCATCCTCTCTTTATCGAATCTTTAGTATTCGAGGTGTCTCCAGAAGAGAAACAAAAAATTCAACACGTCAATAAATACCACCACAAAATGCTTAAATAACAAAGTTCGTAACAAGGTAAATGGGGAGAGCAGACAGTAGCTAAACTTGTTCAATGGTAAACGGATATTGAAAGCACGATCTAAAAAGTTAAACTGTATGTTAGATTTATTTAATCGAATTGAGTCTGACTTATATAATCATATTATTATTATTATTATTATT